TATAACACGTATGTTATATAAAAGTTATATTGTTGAGTAGGAAATTACGTTACATGTATGTTATATTTAACGTTGTGTTTGCTGGGATCCGTTCTGTTAAAAGAAAACAATTGCTTTTTATAATTTAAAAATTAATCTTCGGACAAAGTTTTGTATAAAAAGAAAATTCGTTTCAGAATCGAATCAGGATTACGTCGTTTCGAAGACCCAAGATTGTTTCCAATCATCTTGTACATATGTGGTATCAACGTTAAAAAAAATTGATTGAACGTTGATTAAACGTCTATAAAACGTTGATTTCAATATCCATAAGACGTTGAAATGTAAAGGAAAATTCAACAATCGCGGACATTTTTACATTGTATGAAGGTTTGTGCAATGTTGATTCTATGTTTCTCAATGTTGCTGCAATATTGACATTGTTGCAATTCAACATTCATTCTACATTGATTCAACAATTCTGTGCTGTATGGGTTACCGCGTCCTGTTAGCAAATATACCTTATTATTAATGTATTAACATTATTAATGTGTGTTGTTGTTAAAAAATATTAATAATGTATTAAATATTAAATAATTATACAGAAAATAAAAATTAATACATTTGTATGCTAATTCATTTTTTCCCCTCTTCGGAGATTGTCCATTCCTGAGATCCAAACTTACCGACTCATGCGGAAATGGAGACGGAGGGGATAGGCAAGCCGAGGGGCAGAGTGGAGAGTACGGGGAACGCCGTTAGTGTGCTGCGACGGTTGTTACCTCAGTACTGGTCTGGTCTGGTGTGGTGATATACGTTCGTGCGATGTGGGAGACATATGAGTTGCTATGAACGTGCGTCTGCTTTTGCTCCGATTCGGGATCACATGTGTCGTTCCGTATATTCACACGTCCTGTGCAAGTTGATTGAACCGAAAACACAAGTAAGAAGACACGTGAAATGTGAACAACCAACGTTAGGCATCACTTCACGCTTAGATCCTGTTCCTTTGTTCAGCCGACTTCCTGTTGATGCTAAATATACCTGAAATATAGAACCTTCTGGATTTTTCCTCCCCTTATGACACCGACTTTCCTTCCCTCTCTCTTTCTCCCTTCTTTCCTCTCTTTCTCAAATTTTCAACCTCATGTTTAAAATACTAATTACGACAGTTAAGTATAACTCATAATTATCTAATTGTTGTAATTGACGGTGACGAGTCAGCAGCTAACTCGGGCGAATTAGACGTGAACACAACGCGCGTATTGAATTTTATGATGCGTCTATACGATAACAATTACGTGTCTGTACAAACAGGCACGTGAGATCGTACGAACAAGGTCGACAATTTTCTGACACTCGCGACAACTGTCACACGTGTTCGACAAGTTTCACGAATCGACAGTTCCCAGTAAACATTAAGTAACAATAACATTACATTAGTGTTATGACTTCCCAATCAGCAATGTGTGATCAGCAGTGTGATTATTATGTATAGCATGTGTGTTGCCCGTATAGTACATAATATATATTTATAAAATATTAAAAAAAAATATAAAATATTTTGTAAATATATATTCAAACGTCCGAAAGATTTAAATACAAAAAGATATATTATGTTAAATATTTAAAAAATATTCTTCATAAATTTTTAAATGTCTAAATTTTTATAAATATCTTTTTTTTGAATATTTATCTCATAATCTTCTTCATATATGAATTTTCTGGACATTCGAAAGTATTTAATGTTTATATATTTCTAAAATATTTTGTAAATATTGTGTACTGTTTGGGTATTGTACTTAGGGCTGATTGCTCCAACCTTTTAAGCTATCTAACAGTTAAATTATGTGTTTGTTTTTGTTTAAAGAAAAAACGAAGACAAACAAATGATTTAACTGTTAGGGACTTTATTTCTGAAAAATATCGCATACGATATTCCATGAAGAGTTATAGTTTATGTTACGTACACTATAGTTTTTCATTAAAATATCATATGTGGTATTTTTCAAGAATACGGCCTCAGCTTAGCAAGAGGCTGGAACAATCGGTCCTTATTCCCAGATAACACAAAACACTCTGAGATAATCCTAATGCTTAGAATACTTCTTGAGACATCTCGAACATTTTTTGAATAATTTTAAAACACATCTCGTTGTATTTGTATTATGGAATGTAAAATTATAATATTAATGCGATGTTACTTGATGTTTTCTGTCGCGATTTATCGCAAAAGTTTCATGATTAATGCCCGATTCTACGAACTTTGGTTAACTCATCTTCTGACGTATCTGTCAATTCTAATTAACGAGAAATGCGATTAGTCAATTCCGTTGGAATAACTAACCAGTTAACCAATGTTGGTAGAAATGGACATAAGAGACAATTCGCGAGTAGAGTTACCTACAATAAGACGTTCATGTGTTTAATGTGCACGATAAGATACTCCGTTTCGTGAAAGCCGTTTCGATTACGGCCGTAAATACGTCAAAGACTATTTTATCTCTTTGCACATATCATTTTGGACGTATGATTTTATCGTCCTCGTAACAAAATATTGCAATTTAAATTGGTCGACTAATTCGCGTTATCTCCAAACGAGTTCAATTATAAAATTTCTAAAATACTCTCATTCGTCGACGTTATCGCATATTAATTAGGCGCTCTCTATGTAATGCTCCAGCGATATTGTCAGATTTTACAATGATATCATAGAGCGCACCCAAAATTTCGCGTCGCGATGCTTCCGAGGGTCGGTCGAGACTGACGGTCGCCAACGCGACGTGACGTCGCGTACCTCAACGTAGCGTGACACACTCACGTAATATACCTTTGACGTAGTAATAACGACGCATACAAACACGAGCTTTGTAAGTTTGAATCGGAACACGTCCCGAGGAATATGGATTAATTAAAGGGAAGCGCGAGATGAATTGATTCCGTAGATAGATCAATTGATTTTCCGCGTTGCGAAATAAAAGAATGAATGAAATATTTCGAGATTCTCTTCCTGATTGCACTTACTTTTTTTCTTCCTACCGACGAGATCTACTCCTACGCCTATATTACGTTATATTGATTTTTCCGCACTCGATAGGATAACATAGCAATTCGTCAAAATGTCAAATGTCAGGCGAAGGCGTTCGTATGATGCAAACATTATGACGCATGCAAAATCGATAATTAGAGTTACTCGTTTTTTCGTATTTTCAAATGCTTCTTATTTTTTCTTTTTTTAGCCGTTTTAACATATGAATTATATTTAAATTATATTACGCAGTATATTATATAAATTTCGCATCATAAGCTATGTTTTCGATCACTTTAATCCGGTTAATAATCTTAGTTAGTGAGCTTTTGCATCCGATTAGTATATTCTTTTAGATCTCCAAAGTATACTCCACTAACTACGGTTGTTATTAAACCGGATTAATGTTGTCATGTAATAGGATTCATAATTTGTATCCTTATTGAATTTTGATATTTTCCGTTTTTATATATGCAGAGACAGAAATTGACAATAAAGAAATTATTTATGTTTTGTTTTAAGATATATAGGCCACATTTTAACTTTCGTACATTAATGGTGAAATAAACATATATGAAGAACATATTTTTTATTTTCACCTAAAATAATAAAGCTCTTTTTAAATGTAACATTATTAAGTAGCTTTCCACACTCTCGAAATAAATAAAGTTATAACGGAAAATTAAAATTCGAGGTTGCCTTGGTAGAAATTTAATGCAGTTTTCAAACAATTACTATGGACAATTATGTCATGTAACTCTTGTTTAGTAACTGAAAAGTAAAACTACTTGGAATCCTTATCAAGACGTAACGCTTTAAGGGAACTAGAACGGTTTCATCTTCTGAAAATTGAATGAAATTCGAATGACTATTATCGACGAACGAATAAACATACACAAAGTTTGTTTTTCTTTAGTTTTCATACATACTTTTAGAAATACAATAAGCGATAGAAGTTAAAAAAATATTAATAATTGAATGAGATATTGTTAAATTAAAAAAACGTTTTTGCGGTTTTGCCACGATCCCGAAAAAACGAGTTGGAATTTTTTAATGCGCCAGGCGTCATTTTGTAGGTAAAATTTCCCTCTATAGATTGAACCGAAATGGAACTAAAAATCTCAAAAATTAGAGAAGTAGCGAACAAAAAATCAAAAATGTCTAAAAATTCCAGTTATTTATTGTTAAAACAGTATTAAAAAATTAATTTTTATGTGCAAATTTCGGTTCAATCTATGCGTCTTTATCTTTGATTTAAAGAAAAAGATCAAGTCGATATTTTTAGCCGTTCTTGAGTAATCGTGACAAAACTAGGGGAAAATGCTGTTTTGGAAAATAAACGACCGACTACTTCTACTACCGACCGACCGACTGTTCTCATATCCTTTGTTGTTACTCTTATATTTGTTAGCAGTGATTTCCATACGCCTATAGTCTTTGTTTCCGATATTATTATGTCTAAGTTTTCAAACCGTTATTATTGTTTATTAATTTGTTTTAAATAAACAATATCTACATTTCTTACACTACATGATCACGCGCGCTCCACCGGTCGCGCGCCGCCTCATATTTTTTACTCTCCTGAACTTAATTTTGCAAATATCAAGGTTCTTTTTGCGTCAAAATGTTCTTAAAGAATTGTATAATTATGTAAACGATTATGTAAAAATTCAAAAATCGATTTTTTGAAGATTTCAAACCGTTCTAGTCCCCTTAACTGTAATTACTGCGCACGAAAGATATGTAAAATTTGAACCTACTTATTGAGCGAAACAAAACAGAAAAAAACGATTTAATTGATTATCAAATTTGTTGCCCACAAAATAGGCAGTAATATTTCATTTTCTATTTTAAATTTTGCTTTTTAGTAAAAAACATTGTAATATTAGTGGGAGTCATAATGTAGGACATTTTTAGCGCGTAATATATTGGATGAGTACAAAAATTTTGACGGGTTTCTTAGATATCGTGACTCATTCCATTTTATAACAGTATTTATAAATATGTAAATGTATCATATACCGTTAAAAAGGTCATACTCGTAGCTGTCATTACCATAGATATAATATATCTAGACTGAACGTTGAAGAGTAGAGGTAGAAGTTTACGTAGAGAAAAGAATGCATTGTATTTTGAGACCTTGCGTTCTCTTTCATTCGCGCATGTGTATGAGAGTATATAATATGTGAGAGAGATTAGTGAAGAGGAATGAAAGAACGAAAATCTGGGACTGAAAACCACATGTCTTCTGCATCGAATTAATCGAATAATTGACCAGATGTTCGTTCCAACAAATGTTGCACTTCACCATTGTGCACGTTAATTTTAATCCACACCTCTCTAATACATAACCTCTCTCACATATACGCTCATACACATGCGAATGAGAGAGAATGCAGGGTCTCAAAATCATGGACATAGTATATATGGACCTCGCATACGGCCAGAAAAGTGAAGCCAACATGTAGAAAGAGACCATAATATACATAGACATAGACATAATATACATAAACTCCGCATACAGTCAGAAAAGAGGAGCCAATATGTATAGCCCCTCTGTTCTCTGTCTCTTTCTGCACAGACAAAATGTGCAATAAGATTTAAGTAAAACTTTTACTTGCCAGTCTAGTCGGAGTGTTGCGTTCTATAATATTATAGAAACGAGAAATGGATGCATGCACAACAAAAAAGTGACAAAATAGGAAGAAAGTATATAGCCTTTCTATTCAGCTTTCTTTCTAGATGTTGGCTTTATTAGAAGACAAAACATAGAGCACTCGGAGTTCATATATACTAAGTTCATGCTCAAAACACAATGCATCCTTTTCTACGTGCACTCTTATCCTCACTCTTCAAATAAAGGCAAACGTTTGGTCTAGATATATTATGTCTATGATCACTACAAAGAGAAATTCGTTTGATTTGAATCAGTTGTCTTGAAGTGAAATTTAAAGTGAATATTAACCTTTAGGCTGCCGGAACTTTTTCATTAAAAAAGTGATTTTTTTTTCTAAAAAATTTTTCTGTATAAGTAATATACACGCAACACAAGTTCAGGGATAAAACTAAACTGGGATAGAGTAAATTCGGATAAGATGGCCATATTTTTTTTAAATGTAAAAAAAATACATTTCTTATTATTATTTCTTAATAGTGTTTGGCACATTACTTCACTGAAACCTACAGTACATAATACTATCAGAGTCAAAAATATTTCAAAAATTAAATATTGAAATTAAATATTGAAATTATTTATTACAAAAATATCAAAACATGAATTTTTTAGATAAGATGACCGTAACATTAAGGAATAGATAGTCTATATATATATATATATATATATATATATATATATATTTTTTTTTTTTATGTTCAAGATATATTTATTATTTTATAAAATAATAAATATATCTTGAACATAAAAAAAAAAAATATATATATATATATATATATATATATATATATATATATATATATATATATATATATATATTTTTTTTTTTTATGTTCAAGATATATTTATTATTTTATAAAATAATAAAAATAATTAAAAAACAATTTAACATATTTTAGTATAGGATATTTAATACATATTATTTATGAAAAATATATACATAATAATACATATTTAAAATAGAAATTTCTATTACAAAACTTAAATTCTAAATGCAATTTTTTGATCAAAACATATTGCACATAAGATTTAATTATTGCAATATTGAAAGTAATTTTTTAAACATAACGCGATTTTCGTCTTATAAATGTTCATAGAATGATAGTGGGCCATCTTACTCAAAATGTGAGTGAAAAACGGTCATAGTATTTATAAACAAATAGTAAAAGCAAAAATGAAAACCGTACGTTATATTACAATTTACATACCTTCTTTATGTATCTAATGTTGATTGCGATAGCTTAACTGTAATTTATTCGATGTTATAACAAGTTTTAGCGAACACATAAGAAATTTTACAGGTAGTCGAAAATATAAAACATATAGTATAATATTCATAATCTTGCTGTTTCGAAAAATATACGCACATATATTACGATAAATATCGATTATCTTTGTGACTGATTACACAAACACAATGTTTTGCAATTATTAGAGAAATTACAGCCTATGGTCATCTTTCCCGGTATGGCCATAATACTCGAGGCCATTTACCTTATCCTATTACATTCGTCATATTTTCCTGATATTGAAAATTTATTATTTATTTTGGTCCTAATAAAACAGTTTGAACAGTAGAAAATTCGCTTCTTTTCACACAACTACGTTTTTTCATTCTTAGACAAAAACCGGCCATTTTTTATGATAGACATGAATACTGCCAGAATGTTTGCGAAAAATAATAGAAAACGATGATTACTTGGTAGAATGATTTAATAAAATTACTTTACCCATTTTTCTATCACGGAATCTATCACAATTTTTGCACTCACCCAATATATTTTTATGCGTACAGTTTTTTGCTTTTTATGTAATATTTAATTTTTTCACAACCATCAAATTACACATGTTCTTTTATCCTTTCAGTTGTACTATTTCATCATGTTCTGAGTATGAGCTATTATGATAGTTTTTATATATATCATTACTATCAAACTAGTTTGATGAATTCTAATTGTAATAAAATTTTGTATTATTAATATATATCTCATTTGTCTTTTACTTGCTTTTATTTCTGCTCTTGGTTGTCATCTCTTTCATAGAATTTAATATTGTTAAATGCCTTATTTTCTTCAATTTCCTTTCCTTGCTTTATGTTTTTCTACACGTCCCCATACACACATACATACACACACACGCACACACAGTCATTGTTAAACGCAATTTTAAACTTTTCATAATATAAATAAATATATTTCAAATATATGCACATTATAATATGTACACATTATATAAAACTCTAAATTAATATTGTCTTCTATTAAAAGAATCAGTCTACATATTGTAGAATGACTGCTCCAACCACTGAATAAAACTGTCGAATTCTTGTTCAGTTCCTACGCAGTATTTGTTAATAATAATCAGGGTAATTAATAATAATCAGGGTTGGATAAGATAATATTTTTTTTTAACTAAGTTAAGTTAAAAGTTAATAGCTCAAAAATCAACTAAGTTTAAGTTAAAGATTACTTAAAGAATTGGCTGAGTTAAAAATTAAGTTAAAAATTAAATTAAAAGTTAAAAAGTTAACTCTCACAATCTATACAGTCTAAGTCATATATGACATAAGCGAAATTTTACTCTCTTCGAAATAAAAAGGAAGAGAAGTTCAATCAGTGATTTTATATATATAAATAATTTTTTACATGTAGATTACATTTCGTTAAAGTAATGAAAGGATATAGTCTTTTATGATAAAAATATTTTTCGTAACTTAATAAGTTATTTAAATGTAGAACAGGACGAGTTGGTTGACCTGCTTTTAATATTTAGTTTCGTCACAGAATGACCCAATGAAAAAATGAGTTTTAGAAAAATAAACACTTTCATTGAACAATTCTGCGACTTTCCCAAACGTGTCACTAAAAAACGGTCAACCAACCTGTTCACGACTATACATAAATGGCAAGAACATTAGTTTGAATCAAGACTTTATAAAATATCTTATTATCATCTTTTATTTTTCTTATTTTTTAATCAGTACAAAAAAAGTATAGAAATTACTGTGCTACAGTTAATAAAACATAGTAAGAAATAAAAAATATATTCGGACCCATGGCCTTCTTTTATATTACTGTCAGCGTGTAAAACCTCTAAAATAAAAAAAAAGTTAAGCAGTCGAGTACAATTAAAGATATTTATTAAATTTTAATAATAGTGTCATTTCAAAATTATGATCCGTCATTTTTTCTCTCAAATCATCATATACTAAGCTATCTGCATTAAATAAACGCTCTACGTGTACAGAGGATGGTACCGTTGTATTATATTTTATGAACGCACGTTTTAATATGATCGGATATTGTTTTATATCATCGTAATTATTAGTAAATAAATAATTTTCCACTATTGAAGATGTATAGTAGCTCGATTGCATAACTTTTTCTTTTCTCTTCTTAAATAAAAAAAATTTTTCATTAATCGCATCGACAGAATTTCGTTCTTCAAAACTACTTTCTAAAGTTTTTTCGTAGAAAGATTGAAAGCATAATTTTAACATTCCTATGAGCTCCTTTTGGTCATCATTCTTTTCCATCTATTCCAATTTAAACTCTGGTATCAATGCTGCAGAAATCTTAAAATCCGCATTATAATAAACGTAATTAAATCTGAAATTTTTTCAATAAATCATTGTTATAAAGCATAAATATATTTGCAAATAATAAAATTCATTAGATTCATTAGGTAGGACTTTCACTAGGTATAAGCAAAAAAGTATGTTTAGTTACCTTTCCTGAAGACTTGTTAAAAAAACAGTGATTAATCGTTTTGTGTGAACTGCACTAGATAACTTAGTTTGATATATACAACACATTTGCATGACAAAAGTGCAGTTCACACAAAACGATTAATCACTGTTTTTTTAACAAGTCTTCAGGAAAGGTAACTAAACATACTTTTTTGCTTATACCTAGTGAAAGTCCTACCTAATGAATCTAATGAATTTTATTATTTGCAAATATATTTATGCTTTATAACAATGATTTATTGAAAAAATTTCAGATTTAATTACGTTTATTATAATGCGGATTTTAAGATTTCTGCAGCATTGATACCAGAGTTTAAATTGGAATAGATGGAAAAGAATGATGACCAAAAGGAGCTCATAGGAATGTTAAAATTATGCTTTCAATCTTTCTACGAAAAAACTTTAGAAAGTAGTTTTGAAGAACGAAATTCTGTCGATGCGATTAATGAAAAATTTTTTTTATTTTGACAAACGTACTTTTTTCACACATTTTGTTTTCAACTTATGCGAAAAAGTTAATGAGTTAATGCAAAAAATAACTAAATTAAGTTAAAAGTTGATACGTTTAAAATCAAGTAAGTTAAGTTAAAAGTTATTAACTTTTTAACTTTTAACTTAACTTTTAACTGGTGAAGAAGTTATTACCCAACCCTGATAATAATGCATTAATATTAGACAATAATTGGGCAGATGTTTACGCAAACTGCATACATTTCTACCAGGGTCTCTATCTTTCTATAGGAAATTAAAGCACATGTCTTATTCACAAACTTACAGTTGTTATGCATATCAACTCGAAATAAAAAAATAACTTTTAATAAGATGAATTTACTTAAAAATTTCCTTTTGGTTGTTTACTATATTGTAAAAATTAGAACTAAACTTTACTTTTAATTGTTATGTTTGTAATCAGTATCAAAATTAATTAGAATTGACGACTTAGATCAAAGATACGATTTTTGTGTTTATCAATGTTACTAGTATGTAAACATTGTCCTGAAAAAAAAGAAAAAGAAACTGAAATATGAATACTGTAATGATCTCTCCAAATATTGGAAATATGCAGTTATCCTAAACAATTACAATACGTCAGTATAATGAGATGACAATAAGTCAGTATAATGAAATCGAACAATTATTATTTCGCAATGGAGAATTATTTCGGGACTAGGATTTAGAATTATGCCTTTTCAGAAAATTACTTTACTTTCCGAATTTTTAAATTCTGATTTTTCTGGACAATATATATTTACCAACTTATTGTTTTGTAAGAATGGATGAGAAATAATTTGAGAATTTGCAAATTGATTCTAAGAGCCAGAAGAATACAATATTTTGCATATAATAAACATTTTACAATACAATATTTTGCATATAATAAACATTTTTACAATAAATTTGCAAAATTTTTGTAATTTCCTCTCTATTTTTTGTACAGAATGAAAATTGCTTTCGAGGAGACCGTGTGAACAGGATTTTCAAGCTTGATTGGAATCAGCTATGATGGAACGTATTGGCTTTAATTGGGAAAATAGCAGCTTAACACTTGCGGTTAAATCATCCGACATACAGCGCGATTCGTGCCTTTGAAACAATCCTTAGTATTAACAAACCGAACCGTCCATTTCAAGGAATTTTAAATAAAACGAAATTTTACGTTTCACGAGATTCATTCACGTTTATACGTTATAAATTTTTAAAAATATTGCGACAATAAAGCAAATTGCAGCGAGGGAATATTCAAAGTGCACAATTTTGCCGATAGAGACCAAGACTGGTAATTACCTGTTAAGTTAAACTCGAGTGACGAATGTGATCAAGATATATTTGATGAATCGTACGAACTTTTCTTGACGATGGCGCTTTTGTAGAAAACTAGCCGCTGGAAGCAATGCCGGAATGAGTTAAAATTAAAATTCGAAGAAAATGAAAATAACGCTATCTACAGTACGGAACATTGGAGAAGACGATAAATAAGTAACGAGTATTATCTCTGAGATAAAATTTAGATTTATCTCTGGAATAATGAGACCAGATATATATCACAGATAGTAAATTCTCGCACGAGTCGAATGCAAACACATAAGTCCACGAAAGTTTGGCCGATTATCTGAAAGAAATTAACGTTGTGCAAATTTCTCTGAAATCTATTAAAACCCGATAAAAAGAAATATATGTACAAGATATCAATCACAATAAATATAAGAAACTCGGGTGCTCGTAGGAGAGGCAATATTGTACGCAGATATTATATTGATTCTCGATACGATTTTCTCGGCGAAAAAGCGAGGAAAAGAGGAAGAAGAAAATGAGAAGGGATTCTGACATCAGCTCGAAACAATAGTTCCCTTGACGGCACTAATTATCGCAAAGTGCGAAAACGTCTGCCTAATAAGACCAATAAGTTCATTTCGCGCTTGCTGATAAGCTTATGTAATCACGACGGAAGACGCGGCCCGATAGTGTATCGGCGACGACCTTCTCGAGATCCGTCTACTCGACTGCGCCGACGAGGAAGCGGAATCTGAGGTAATGCCTAGATGTAGTTGACGATATATCATTCGGTCGCGTGCCGACGTGGGGAACGGCTGCCGCTACCGCCGCGAAGAATATCACGAGGTCTCCGCCGGCAAAAGTGCGGGCCGAGCGCGAACAGCTGAGAGTGAACCACGTGCGACAGTTACCTTAGTCGAATGAGAGATGACGGTCTCCTACACTGCCGAGGTAGCGACATGCAGGGGTCTTGGTTGCTTCCTCAAGTTGCTGCTCAGGTAATTTAAATAATAGATGTAGTAGGCTTGTGGAATATTTGTATTAGATAATTTCGGTTTTTTTAAATAAAACTATTGTATTTTTATATCGTTATAATTTTACGAAAAAAAAACAAAGGATGGAGAAAGATTACAGATCAAAGCGGCGTATACATTAGATTTGTTCTTTTTAGTTGAAGCAGGTTGCACTTTTTGTCGTTAAAATTAAGCAGATATATAATTGCGTTTAAGGGAGAAGAAAGTTCCAGTGCAGTATTAATTCTGTTAAAAAAAAAGTAGGCCTATTGTTTCATCAAATTATAACGATCTGCAAATACAAACGTTCCATCTCATAAAAAATCCAAAAATGCTTTTTGTACGATAGTCTAATGAGAGAACTGATTTTTTAATAATTCGTTCTTTTACCGGACTATTAGTTACGCTCCGAAGTTCATTATGTCTAAACCATTTTATGACCTATTGTACAATCCATAATAAATTGTCAACGTGTTTTTCTTCGCGAGAATGGTGTCGCGGAACATTATTTAACAAACACTTCGAGACAAGCATTTCGAGATCTATTGTGAATTATATTACTCGAATCACTGAAATCATTATTCACCGTCTTTTCTTTATTGAATGTTCTTTGTCTTAGTTTTAATATTATTTCTGTATTATATTCTGTATTTTATACTGTAAGTACTTCAAGACAAGTATTTCGAGATCTGTCGTGAGTTGTATTATTCGAAACATCGGAGTCGTTATACGTCTTTCTTTTATTAATTTCTTTATTTGGCTTAGTTTTAATATTATTTCTGTTTTAGTTTTATTCCGTAAGAAGATCATAGCACACAGAGAAACGGAAACGCGAATTAGTCAATCACATTTGAGAATAATAGAATGTCATGTTGAAATTTTCGAACTGTAATTAATCAACTTGCTTGTTGCTTCAATTTTAATCTGTGTACTATAACCCTAACATTTGTATATATACGTGTTTTTTATACTATTTTTTGCCTTTTTTCTTCTTTTTTTTTTTCTTGTATTTCTCGATGCGATGTTTCGTTGCTATTACTCGAGCTGTTGATTCTGACGTATAACCGCTTATATTTTCTTTTATTTGATCCAGTTTTTATGCTTTTCTTTTTTTACCATCCATGATTAGATCCGCGATTCAATCTACGCAGCAGTGAAGATATTTATTACTCATAAGAAGAGATGAGGTTTCGTTTCTCTCGTTTATGTAGTTTTTGAAATTAACGCCGTTTCGCGTGACTGTAGACGCGAGTGTCATAACGACAATCACGAGTCGAGAATAGTCTCGTGTATTACGTTGGAACATTTCCAATCTCAAGCACAAGTGACGAACGACTCCAACGTATTTACATAAAAATACGGCACGTTACGTCACTTAAAGTTAACATGCTCTGAATACAATGTCACTCTAACCGTAGGAAGGAAGCGCGTAAAGATACAGTTTTTTTTTCCACAAAGCGGGATTATCGACTTTCGATTCGATAACGCATCAGTAAAACGTTATCACTTTCTACCGCGATATAAGTCTACGTCAAGAGCTTCGTTGCTCCGTCAGATCTTTAAATGCAGCGCTATCTTATAGTCGTCATTTTCATTATACTTGGCGAACGCGCGTCGCAATCTCCCGATTAAATTTAAATCGTTCGTTGAGAGACTATTTCAGATAGTCATCGTCCTACCGTGACGAGCGCTCTCCACGCTTGTCCGACGTTGATTTACGAGTCGCGCGATCTGTTGCAGATGGCGAGCGAGCATCTACAAACTCGTCTGGCTCGATTTGGCGCTCTACCTCTCTATCTACTATGCTCTATCCGGAACTTACCGCCTGATATTGAACGCTGAGCAGAAGAAAACTTTCGAGGCCGTGGTGGCGTACTGCAACGAGTACAGCGACTTGATACCGTTGTCGTTTGTCTTGGGCTTCTATGTCAGTATAGTCATGACTAGGTGGTGGAATCAATACATGGCGATACCATGGCCCGATTCCATTGCAGTCTTCGTATCGGCCACTGTACACGGAAACGACGAACGCGGCCGTCTAATGCGCCGGACAATCATTAGGTACTGCACAATATGCAAAATGTGATCATTCGCGTTCAGTGAAATTAATGTTAGAAGACAAAACATGCTCTGTATTCCACTTTATATATTCAATTTACTGATTATTAATTAATTATTAATCAGTGCCTAATTAATTAATTACTGCTCAGTTGTTTATTTAATCTGATACGTTGTGGATAAAAATCAAGAAAGATATTTTAATGATAAAGAGATGTAAGCTCTTTTATCATTATCATATATCTCATGAGATAACAAAATTATTTTAAGTTCATTCCATCAGAACTCTAGCTTTTTATTTTGTAATTGTAATATGTTTACTATTTAAAGCTTCTATCATCTTGCAAAATAAAATGACATATTTATAAAATGGCACTTGTAACTGATCGAGTAGATTTGTAAAATAGTCCGAATACTTTCTACCCAGACAACATTAACGTCATAAAGACGTTTCAAAAATTTTAAAACGTTTTAAAATTTGTCAAGAAGACGTCCTTATGACGTCTTTAAAATGTCTTATGTTCCGATTTAAGGGATTTACTTAAGACATCTTACTGACGCCTTATTTAAGACTAATTTAAAACTACTTTATGTCTACTTTATCCGCTCAGGATTCTACTTTATCCGCTCAGAATCAAGGATCAATTACTGTTAAAATAATATTTGATGTTATTTCTCGAATTTACGGTAACATTTAAAACATACGAGTACTATCGGATATTATTATCATCCATTAACTGTCACTGATTCTTAGAAGAAAGACGTCTTTAAAACCTCAGAAACAAGTCGTCTTTTTTAGACATGCATGTTATATGGGCATTTACTCTAACAATTAATAAATAATTGTAAAACTCAAGTGATAGAATCATGAAAAAATAGATGTAAAAAGAAAAATAGAATGTTGCGGAATACATGTTATGTTAATTGTACGGTAATTTATTGATTGTTAGAGTGCAAAAAGAAAATATTTGGACAATTTTATAGATCTACTCGAATGATTGTAAATCATAATTTTATCCATTTTATCGATATATCTTCTTACTTAAGGCTCTGCTATTTTTCGGGCGGCCATATTGATTTGACGATGTCAGAAGCGAGAAATGACATACCGAAAGTTTCTTGCGTTTTATTTTTTACTTTTCCCTGAAGAACCAAATATTTTCTTAATCCTGAAACCTGTAAAAAGTATAGCAAACTCAGATATCTGGCTGATATATCACGTAGCATCGTAAAATAATTCCTGAAATAATGCTACATTTTTCGGCTGTCACAGTAGTTTGTGACAGCTGAGATCAGCATGTATGAACATATTTAATTTCTCGAGTTTCACAATGTATCACCAATATCACGGAGTTTGCTGCACATTTTACAGCTGTGAGGATCACGATAATATACACACTTCACGGAGAAACTGAAAAATAACGCGATAAAACGCAAGTAATTTTCCGAGGTATCAAGCGAGGCCTAATGTGAGCCTGACCTGGTATTAGCCAATCAGCTACGCTAACACGGTTATTTCGTGTTCTCGACACTGCTAGACACCACTGTCAATTCAGACTTTCTGCGACGAGATAGCAGAGCCTTAAACGTATTTTGTAAGAATTTTGAGCATGTAATTTTTTTCTTCTAACGTCAAGGGTTCCGCGACGAAGAGCTAAAAGCTTTAAAATAATATTACATCAAAAGATAAATAAATTTGCTTGTATTTTGGGATAAATTTATAGGCAAAGCGTTAATAGTTTTTCTTAATAAACAGAAGTAAATTCCATTCCCAGGTACGTTTGTGTCTGTCTAACTATGGTCCTCTCGAACGTTTCACCGCGAGTAAAGAAGAGATTCCCTACTTTGGAACATTTCGTCGAGTCTGGTTTGTTGCTGGAGAACGAGCTCTCAGTATTCCAAGGTCTGAATGCCAAATTCCCTAAGCCGAGCAAACACTGGCTGCCGATTGTTTGGGCCTCCAGCATCGTGACTCGTGCTAGAAAAGAAGGCCGAATACGCGACGATTTCGCGATGAAGACCCTCGTAGACGAACTTAATCAATTCCGCGGAAAATGTGGCAGTATTACACATTACGACACGATTAGTGTCCCCTTAGTCTATACTCAGGTAAACGTATAAACTTCTCATTGGTTACAAAAGAGCGATATTATATTCTAATAAATAAAGATCTTGAAGTATAGCTAATATCAGAGAAGAAGTAACGATTGCATGTTTGATATTTGTATATTAACTAAAAATAGCCTTAAAACGCAATATAATTGAGGATTATTTCAATTCTGTAATCGTATAATTGATTCATTATTTATTCTTTAATCGCATTAATTGATTCATTATTTATGTATTATTTTAAAAAACGGGAACAACGCGTCAGAATAATCACGTGCGATGGTTTTACACTAAGGAGATGCTGAAGTTGTAAACTTTACCGACAGAATACTGACATTTTTCTGAAAAATTTACGTCGTATTGATTGTGCAAAATTATAAATGCTTTTACGCGATAAAAGTACGTGCAAAAATAAATAAGTACATTGCGCAATGTGAAGAAAACGAAAAAAAATGTAAAATCTCAAGCTGTCAGTTAGGGTACTATTTATCTAATCCAAAAGTTCCGTAGCTTATATATACGACATTCGCAAAGATTAAAAGGTCGTTATGATATTTGCCATAGCAACTTTGCTATAGCGTGTATAAATCTTATAATCGGTAATATAGGCAATCATACACAATCTTAAAAATGCCATTCAATAGATGTTATAAAGACGTCTGAAATATGACGTCTAAAAAACGTCTAAAATAAGACGTTTATAAGATGTCTTTAAGTAGTATCTTAAAGACTTATTTAAGATGTTTTTTAGACACACGTGTTGTATAGGCAGCATTCCCTTAAGATTCCTGTATCCTCATTGCAGTTATCTTGATCATACACCAAAATTTTTGCAAAATAAAAAGGTATGTCTATACAGTGACACTATAGACATAGTAAGAATAAACCGAGCATTCGCCTCTTTTTGAGGAGTGGAGGTAAAGCACACGTAGAAAAGGATAGACGACAACGATCGTATCTCCTTCTCTCTCTATGCAATAAGATAAGTCACGTCTATTAGTCACATACACAGACTTGAGACTATCTCCACTTTCTCTCATTAGAAAGAGACGAGAATACGGTCGTTGTCTTCTCTCTCGTTCTACGTTGACATCGTTTTACGTCTTGAACTCGATCTATTCTTACTATGTCTATGAGTGACACTTGTGATAGATTGAGCAGATTTGTAAAATAGGCAAAACACTTTCCTTTTGCCTCAACAATCAAGAAATTCTCATAATAAAATTAACATAATAGAATCTTGCGAAGAGATTAATTAAAAAAATAGGTTACATATTATTTTAATTTTGCGATAATTTATTGATTGTTGCGGAAAAGAAAGTTTTCAGACTATTTCACAAATCTGCTAAATTGATTGAGCCTTTTTGTGGATATTTCATTTCAAGATATTTTGCAAGAATTTTGGGGATATGTTTTGTCACTTCTGATGTAATTAATCAAGATGGTTGCAGTGGAGATATGAAAGTGTTCGGACTATTTTATATATCTACTCGATTGATTACAAATGTTATTTTATGGATATAACTTTTTATTTCTTCTCTATGTATTTTGCAAGAATTTTGAGCATGTATTGTCTCACTTCTGATGTTATAAATAAAAATGGCCGCAGCAAAGAGTCAAGAACATTAAGTCCATATTCTAAACTCTCTTTTATCACTAAAAGTATTTCTGAAAGTGATTTATAAGCTTCTAATTGGCTATAAATCACTTTCAGAGACGCTTTTAGTGATAAAAGAGAATTCAGAATAAGGACCTTAATATCTAGAAACAAAGTTAGAAAATACCAGTAACCTAATTATACGGTGTCTTAAAGCTATTATGTCGGTCTGTGTATCATTAAAAGTGCGCGGTATTCATTCTAAGTTCGTCGACGGTTGCGAAGTTGACACCTTACTTTTTAGTATAGCACGTTTTAACGCAAGTTCTACTTGCACGCGTAATAGTTGTAGAGTAGTGAACATATATTATCCCGAAAAATTAAAATCTTAAAATTCAAAAAGTGTGGAACAAATTTCTGACTCTACTATTTTAGAATAATTTTTTTATTTTATTATTGATATATTTCATTATCATTAACCATTTTTAAATAATTTCTTAATCTTACTACAAGAGTAAAACGTATGAAATACAATTAGTTTAACCGAACTTTTTTATATTTTCCAACGGTTATCCTATAGCTTTAACACTTTCGATGCATTTTATTCAAAATTTTGGTCTTACCTTACCTGGTATTTTTAAACAATTTTTTAATCTTTATGTATGTTTTAACATCATATAATAAAAGCAAAATATTTCTCCCATAGCAAAACAAGTTACAGTGACATCACAATGAACTCACAATAGAGATTATGAGTGCATTATGATGTCATTGTAACTTGTTTGGTATGGAAATAAAATGCTGTGTCAGTTTTAGCTGACTTTTTGGCAATTTTCCGGAAGTTCTCAAGTAGTTTTAATATTTCCATGTTTGTCCTGTCATAGATTTTGTAAATATAATGTGACTTTACTACAGGTCGTAACATTGGCAGTCTACACGTACTTCCTTACCAGCGTGATAGGTCGTCAGATTGTTGAAAGCTCGACCATCACCATCGATCTGTATTTCCCAGTATTTGCGACGTTGCAATTCTTTTTTTACATGGGTTGGCTGAAAGTGGCCGAAACATTGATCAATCCGTTCGGCGAAGACGATGACGACTTTGAAGTCAACTGGTTAATCGATCGAAATTTGCAGGTAACGATTACTCGTAGAGCTCTTAGAATAAAAAAAAACGTCGATTCGTCTAAGTACACAAGTAAAAATGGTATTCGTAATATTCGATCTATCTGTTGGAATTAAACTTAAACTTAAAGAAGAAAATTATTTATACAATGAGATGATCAACGTGATATTAATGATAAATCTTTTCTTCTTTAAGGTGAGCTATCTAATCGTTGACGAGATGCATCACGAGCATCCTGAGCTCATACGCGATCAATATTGGGATGAGATATTTCCCACAGAGTTGCCGTATACAGCTGCGGCTCAACCTTTCCGTGAGGAACATCCACAACCCTCAACAGCTGGCATACAATTATCTGCAGCGCAACAAGAATTGCAACCGTCATCAGTTAAGATCGATGAAATGTTGTCAGATTATCAGAAATTTCGCCCGGATATGGCTGACGACGCTGCGTCAGGAATACATTTCACTGCAAGAGGCAAGATGTCCCGGTGAGCGCGACAATCACTCAGTTTTTGTCGAAGACATATCGAGAAATTAAATTGTGTTACTATTTTATACTACTATTTTACACTAGAGAGGCGATTTTCAATTTTTATCTAATTTAGTGCAACATACACACGTGCGTGTACACGTATATACACACACATGCACGCACACACGCATATATACAACTCAAGTACCTGATAATAATATTAATATGATATTACTTGTGTTTATATATTATTTGTATTTATGTATCTTATAATATCAAATAATATTTTAAGTTTATTTTATTTTTAGTAATTATAAAAAGATAGGTGTTTATTTTGAACAATTTCGTCGTATTAATTTTTCATAGCAAAAAGCTTCAAGCGCAAAGAGTTAAATTTCAAATAGCCAAACTTGCGGAAGCAAATGTTACGTAATGTCTGCTGTAAATTTTATTGGCATCTTGCTAACAGTAATGTAACAGAATTTACTAGTAGAATATCATGACAGATTGACAGCAAAAACCGAGCAAGATCTGTCGTTTCCTAATCATTTAAATTATTTCAAAGTATTTTAATGGAACGTATTGCAGTTCCTATTCAGTTTCTGCCGTCAATCTGCTGTTAAGTTACGTGAACAGGTTCTGTTGGCAGAGCACAAGCTTAATGCGGATAGATAGTTATAGGTTTGCTACAGTACTGTTAATATTTTACTTATTAAAATTCTACTACTTTGTAATAGGAGTGCCAGTAGAGTGAGTAATCGAGATCGTACACTCAGTGGAGGCTCGACTTCTAGTAATTTGGGCGGTTCGCTCACCAGGATAAACAGTGTCACCAGCGTGCTCAAACGATTCTTCAGTAGAGAAGATAGACCAGACGGAGTTACCACGAGTGATAGCAAAACACCGGCAAAGATTCCAAGTTCGAGTTCTACAGCCTCGCTGCAGATGCGACAAATAAACGGTACGGTATTTCTCATCTGATGCTATATCGTTATTTCGGATCGACGTAAGAATCGTGTCAAAAATCAACGGTGACTGGAAATCGCTGACAAAGTACATGAAAATATAAAATTGAAGCAGGTGCAGGTGGTTCCATGAGGATAGGTGTCATCGAGGAGGTGGACGAGCAGATGACATTGACTTCAATGAAGCACGAGAGTAAACCCCACGTACAGAGTATATTCGCACAAGGTCCACCACCGCCAAGCGCACCCGTTGACGTTCCCAGCGGTGAGCGATCTCACAAGCGCGATATGTTCTCCAGAAGCGCACCCGTGGGAGGGAACATATGTACAAGCGACAATTTGGATACCAGAATTACGCATGAGAGAAGGAAAGGCATTAGGTTGGTAACAATCATATCCGTATAACCGTATCCGATATTAACACTGCGCCGTTGACTGACGCGTTCATTTCCATTGATTGTACAAAAGCTTACCAATGATGGATTGCTAAAGATACGATAAATTATTGTAATCAGAGACGCGTGTATCTTTCATTTCGAAATATTGGTTTTCTATTAGCCACAATTAATTATGCTTTATACATAGCTTAATAAACCACTTTAGCGTTGTTATAAATTTTGAACAATTTTTCGAAAATATCTATTAACCTATATCGAAAAATTAAACTATATGTGTAACAGATGTTGCGGTTATGCGTGATAGATGGATTACTATTTTGAATAACTTTAGAGGAATATGTGTTTGACTAAAGAGTTAGCTTCTATCGAAAGTATATTTAAAAATAAAACAATCTGAATTATATTTTATAACTGTATATAGTTTAAATTTACGTTTTAAAATTACGTTAGAAGCTGCTGAAATATATTATAAAAAAGAAGTAAATAGAAGCCAACAAGAATCAACGCGAAATATCAGTAATTTAATTAATCACTATAGTTTAATCAAACATTAAACTATAATATAAAATAAGCAGATAATATTCTTTAAGATTTCTTCGCTGCAGTCATCTTGATTTATATCGAGAAACAAGAATATACATGCTCAGCATTTTTGCAAAATATTGTTAAAATAAAATATGTTCACAAAATAATATTTACAATTGATTAAGTAGATTTAAATAGTAAAATAACCCGGGCACTTTCTTTAACTTCAATAACAATAATCAATAGATCACCGTAAAATCAATAATTATAATAGAGTTATGAGAAAAGATAGACTAAATGTCATATTAATTTTACGGTAATTTATTGATTAGTAGCGCAAAAGGGAAGTGCTTGGACTATCTTACAAATCTGCGCGATCAATTGTAAATGATATTTTATGGACATATCTTTTTTGTATTTTGCAAGAATTTTAAGCGTGTATTGTCTTGCTTATGATGTCATCAATCAAGAGTTTTTACGATGAAGAATCAGAAGCTTTAAGAGCCAACTAAACATTCTGGTCGTTATTTCGACCCACTTCAGTGGTTAAAAGTTCACATAGGAAATTAATAAGTACTTATGAAATTAAGAATAATTTAAAAAATCAATATTCTTGTGATAGTATCAACTGTATGTAAAAGATGATATATAACAAAAAGAAAATAAATAATAAAAGAAGACAAATATAACTATCCAGATAGACATATTTCAGCATATTGTTTACTTAGTGACTGAATTGAGAATTGAAAGTGATAGCACAAGTACGCAACAAAAATATAAGACTTTTATCAATATATAAAGGAATTATTAAGGTTATTTGATGTCATAAAACTGCAACAATATTGTGACAATATTCTAATGCTATAAAAATTGCTATTTATTTTACTAAAAAACGTAATTAAGGTTCCTGGTCCTTCGCATTGTCTATCCCTTTTTAATGACGTCAGAAGCGAGAAAATGCATGCTAAAAATTCTTGCAAAATACGTTAAAATAAAAATACATATCCATAAAGTAATACTTGCAATCGATTAAACAAATTTGTAAGATATTCCGTGCACTCCCCTTTTGCTCTAACAATCAATAATTTGTCGTAAATTGAGGTGACGTACAGTTCATCTTCTTAACCTATTTCTTCGTCTATTTCTATTCAGGTTAATTTACAATAAATTATTGATTGTTAGAGCAAAAAAGGAGTGCACGGAATTTCTTATTAAATTTGTTTAATCGATTGCAAGTATTATTTGGATATATATTTTTATATGGATATATATTTTTATTTTAACGTAATATATGGATATATATTTTTATTTTAACGTATTTTGCAAGAACTTTTAGCATGCATTTTCTTGCTTCTGATGTCATTAAAAAGAGATAGACAATGCGAGTGGCCAGGAGCCTTAAATCAGAATTATTGTAGTAATAAGAAATAAACATTTTGATTAAAATTATGGTATAATAAGATGAATTTTTCTTAAAACAATATATTTTAAACACATCATGTTGTTTACAATAACATCGCAAAGTATGTATTAAATATTTACATACTATGTTCAGTATCTCTGTCCAGGAAGAAGCATATTACTAGTAAATAAAAACAGACAGACAGAGAATAATCACGCAATGCAAGCGGCTGAGAAATTGATTAAACTACAGTAAACTATAGTAATCAATTAATCAATTCGCAACACACACTGATATCTTGCGTTGGCTCTTGTCGGATCCTTTGATCCTTTTTTGTACGTCTGACAACATTGACGTGATTTTATTGATTTATCTTTATTATAAGTTGACTTTATTATACGTTGACGTTAAAAATTGCACGGTTTTAGTTGGCACCTCCAGTTTCATGAAAATTAATTCGATCTTAGGAAGCAAGAATCTACGCATTCGGTGCAATCGAACATCACCTACGAGCCGACTATCAGTTATATCGGTAGTGGAAGCAACGATGATCTTCCTAGCACCACGAGCTCATCGTGTTCCAGCGACACCGCGGACGAGTTTACGAAATTGAAGACCGAGAGGAAGGAGCAGAGACGTAATCGTAGGCTCGCCCGAAGTGCGAGTACGATCAACGATCAAGCGCAAAGCCCTGTTGACGCGGAGACTCTTTTGCTCACAGAATTGGCACAAGCGTCGCATCTCGCCACATTGGCGGCCGAAGAAAGGACCGAAGAAAGAAATTATCGGAAATAATACGAATTCTCTTCACATCGTAGTTTTACAAAAAAAGTAAAAAGAGATTTGTTTGAAAGAATAGATTGCTTGAGTATATTTCTAAAATGGCACTAAAAGTTATTCTTTTCTTTCGATAGTTAATAAACAGCAGAAAGATAAATATAGTAAAGTCATTCCCGTGATGCTACTGGAAATGGCATACAAGAATTTTTAACGTATTATTTCTTGCTTCTGACATTACAATCTAACATGATCGCAGTGGATATCCATACAGAAATGCATCATAAGGATATCCCAATATGGATTCTTTTCTCTCGATAGTTAATGAACAGCAGTAAGATAAATATGGTCAAGTCACTCGCGTAATGCTGTTGGAAATGGCACGCAAGAATTTATAACGAGTCATTTCTTGCTTCTGACATTACAATCAATATGATTGCAGCGGATATCACACAGCAGAAATGCATCATAAGGATATCCTAAATATTCTTATATCGCAATATTTTTAGGATATCACAACATAATATGGACATTTCTACTGTGTGAAGAGCCGTACCCTGGCATGCAATTTTCCTCTTTAATTAATTTAAGTTAATTATAATTTTAACTTAATTATAATACTTTTACTTAATTATAATTTTAGTTAATTAAGTTGATTTAATTATAATTTTAATTAATTTATTATTATAGTTATTTACTAGCGGTTAGGAGAAAATAATAGTTTTCGGAACATCTTATGAGTACTCTTTTATTCAAATATTTTCTTTTTTGCAAATGGCACGCAAGAATTTTTAACATGTCATTTCTCACTTTTTTGATGTAACAATTTAACATGGCCATGGCGAGTACCCAAGAGCCTTGACATGACATCAGTGTTATAATCTCCCACTTCATAAAATAACTGTTACATAACATACGCGTTGTAGTGTATTTACATTATTGAGTAAGAAATTGTAACATTGACGTTACTAATAGTTGGTATTTACTGGGTGTCGAGTTGTTCGATCTAATCTTTCGATGGAATGTATAAAGCTCACATAAGCCTATCAGTTAAACTATGATATGAAAAAAATTTGTATTGTATCTGTTATTCTTAAAATTATAATTAAATTAAATCAATTAGAAAGGAAAATCGCATGTCACGATACGACTCTCTACAAAGCAGAAATCTCCAAATATTATGCCGCAATATCCTAAAGATATTGCGATATAAGGATATTTAGGATATCCTTATATCGCAACCTTATAATGCATTTCTGCTATGTGGATATCCGCTGCAATTATATTAGATTGTAATGTCAGAAACAAGAAATGACGTTATAAATTCTTGCGTGCCATTTCCAACAGCATCACGCGAGTGACTTTACCATATTTATGTTACTGCTGTTCGTTAACTATAAAGAGAAAAGAATATCTTTTAACGCGTTTTACAAGTATATTCAAGCAATCTGCAAGCAAAGCAAGTGTTCTTTCAAACAAAACTTTTTTATTTGTATTTGTAAATAGCATGTATGAATTTTGGGAATACGTTTTCTCATTACAGACATCATCGATCAAGAATTCTGCGGCGAAAAAAACCTTAATTTATGTTTACTGGATAGTACATCGCAATCATGTAAACGATAGATTTTTTTATTTAGATTTTTTACATTTCCTGCGTACTTATGAAACAATATCTTGTGGAACAAGAAATTTATCATTATCGTTGTCAATTCGACCAGAGTGACTGTGACGATAAATGTTATTCGTACGTAAGCCGGTTGTGAGGTAATTAGCGATTGATAGATTTTCGACATTCCTACGAATTTGGTAGGACACTTAAAGCTTTAGCAACGACAAGTTGATGTAAAGATTTTTTACATGAACGCGCAAATAAATACGCGACAGTAGAGGTGCTCCAATGCGATAGTAGAGGACTTTTGTTTCGCAATTTAATTCATAAGTGATGAAAATGAAAAATCTCATATCTTTTTAAATAGTAGCTTATATGTAATAAATATGTTATTAATATTTGTATAAGTAACGCATCATTATTGTATATGCATAGTGTTTCTAAAATTATTTTCATGTGAGCGAAAAACTCAAGATAAATTGCTAAAGGTGCTATATGTAAAAATTCGTTAATCAACGTATTCCACTAAGTCCGCTTTATACAACGAAAATACAAAATATATTTGCATTTTCGGGTTGCATTCTAAAATGTCCCTCTTGAGGAAAATTTTACTCAATACCTATAATATATGTAAAGTTTTGGACTGCAACCTCGGATAGCATAAACATCCCGGAATTATATTAATGTATCAAGAATAGTAAGATCAAGAATCCAAGATCAAGGATCCAAGATCAAGGATCTTAGATCAAGGATCTTCTTTTCTAGGGACGTCTTAAATACATTTGAGATCTCAGGATGTTTTTTGTTATATGGATTTCACAGGTTTGCTATATTTCACAATTTCTGAAAAGTGAAAACCATACTGAATAAAAATTAGTTTTGTACATTTGGAAAAACTCTTTTCTCTCTTTTATTTAATTTTCATCATATAAAATTGATTTTTATGTTTTTCCTATGCAATGTTATATACAGATTTTACAGAACTACGCATATGAACGACTTGACTATTATTGGTTATTCTTTTACTAACATTCCACCTTGTACACGGTTTGTTATGATGCTCGCAAATAAGCCATTTGTTTTGCAGTATTATTAAAATAAAATATTTTTGATAAGACTGGTTTTTGTCCTCAGTGGAATTTTATAATAGCGGAAACTACCTTTTATATTTCGGCTAGTTACATCACTAAAGACAATATTGTTAAATTTTTTGAGTGAACAAATCAGGAATAGCAATTTTTGCTTTATTTCATTCTAGACGAAACGACGTGTTATCTTAATCTTTTTTCTATACAATTTGTAAATACATGAACTTTCTAAAATACACTAAATATCTTTCTAAATAAATCAAACTTATTAAAAGTCATTTAGAATCATTTTCTCAATAGTAACTTAAATATAGATTTAAGTTAAAATTTTGTTGTAACGATCTGAGTTTGATGTTTTGAATAAAATTTAAATTTAAATCTATGTTTAAATTATTGAAAAATCAATCCTGAATATATTATAAAATAAAAAAGAAATTCATATACGACATACGCAAAAGATATGAGAAATAGCTTTCATTTTGAAAAAACAATCTTATAAGATTGTTACTCCATTTGTAGCAAAAATCAAAACTCTTTTTTACTTACTGGAAAAAAATTCTAATACTTATTGAAAAAAAATTCCTGTCAAAGCGCAGAAGCTACCAGGAGAAATGTTGACGGAAACGACATAACAGATGAGCGAGACATACAGTATTCTCTCGAGAACTTTTCGCTTTTTCGCAAGGGATTGTAGGAGCGGAAAATTCTTGAAAACGGAAAGTTATCGAAAGCCCCTTTTTCTGACGGCGCATGCATGTCAGCCCATAATTAGCTGATAGGCAAAAGTCTTGGCCATTGGGAAGGAAGAAAAAGAAGAAGCATACGCGTCAGCTTATATGTGTGTGTGCACCGTATGTAACGAATAAAATAAAACCAGTAGAGTACATAAAATTTAATAGTTCAGCTAATATAAAAATGTTCATTTCGTGATAAAAATAATTAATTAAGATTATTATTAAAGTTCATTAAAACTTAAAATAGCTCTCCTCCTTGTTTCTCTACATTATTGGCATGACAGATTTGATAACTTTACAAGTGCTATTTTTTAACATTTTATCTATCACAATAGTAATATAATAACAGAGACTTTATGTATACAGATCAGTTAAGGTTACAATACACATAGTAATTTCGTTCATATTCCGGTATATTCTAATAATGTAACAATTTTTTGGTAATTTTTATTACAAAATTTTCTCCGTGCATATATATTACAACACAATAATAAACTATATATTAGTTAATATTACTGTATTTTTAACTTAATAGCAATATTTTTGTATTTTCTTAATACAGCAAACTCATCTGCCGTCAGTAAGTTATTTTTTTTATTAAATGAAATTATTAAGTGCAGAAATTATTTCTTGAGGGGTGAGGTTTTCCTCGTTGTCAGTCTCGCTTTCTACAACATAAAGCAGAAAGAAAATTTTCAATACAGACTAAGAAATTTATTTCGTATTTCTGTTTCCTAAGAATGCAATTTATAGGAAAAAGATTTATAAAAAAAAATTTATTCAGCTTTTTTTACAGAATAAAATGTAGAATTGATATCAGATATTTAAAGTGAAAAGTTAATATAAAATTATGTTTAAACATTTTTAACACAACTTAAAGATTAAAAATCTAAAAAAATTTAACTTTTCCAAGCTTTAGTCTCATTGTCTTGACAATTAGCTTACCAGTTTCATCGTCCTCTGTAATCATTTGTATAATTTCAGCATTGGAAAGTATTGGTGCGAAATTATTGTCGTTTTTCATAATCCAATCCCGCACAACATTTTCAGTAGTATCCTGATAGTTACCTAATTTGTGTATATCATTCAATAAATCATTATCAGTTATACCAAACTCTGAAGTTAAATCTGTTTCTTTATCTTCATTTTTATATTGAAAAAATTTCGCTGGTAATAAGTTTTTCCAACATTTATTGATCATCGCTGGATGAACAGAAGCATCACTAATTCAATAAATGACGTCTCTTATTGAGATAGATTTTATAAATGTCATGATATCAGTTCCATCTTTTTGGGCATTTAAAGCATAACTCAAAAGCTGTGATCTGTAACGTCTTTTTATATTTTTTTATATTTTTACGTCTTTTTATATTTTCAATTATTCCCTGGTTCATTGGCTGAATTAGAGATATCGTATTTGATGGTAAATAACAGATTTTAATATTATTCACTAACAAAGTTTTAACTATTGGATGATATTATCAAGATATAGATTGATATATTATCAAGATATAGATATTATCAAGATATAGATATCTTGATATATTATCAAGATATAGATTGGTGTATTATCAAGATACAGAATAGCTTTTGAAGGTAGTTTTTTCTCCTTTAAGAATGCACTTACTCGAGGAACAAATTCTTCTTTGAACCATTTTTCAAAAATATTTGAATTCATCCATGCACTTTTTTGATTTGTATAGTAAACAGGAAGTACATTTTTAGAAATATTTTTTAATTTTCCTGGCTTTGTTGACTTTCCAATAATTACTAGGGGCAATTTTAACGATCCATCCGCATTAGAACAAACCATAGCTGTAACACGATTTTTGTTCTGTTTAAATCTGAAAACTTGACATCCTTCAGCTTTTGCCAAAGTTCTACCTGGCAACATTTTATAATTCAGGTCTATTTCGTTAGCATTGAATATCTGAACTAATGTGACATCTTCTGCGATATTCTCTTCTAGATTCTTTTTGAATTTCTCTGCAGCTTCTACATCAGCACTCCTTTTTTCGCCGCAACAGTTATTGGCTGAATACCATTCTGATTTTCCATTTGTTGAGCCATCCTTCACTAGCAACAAAGTCTTTAGAAATGTTTAATTCTTTTGCCAATTGTATAGCTTTTTCTAAATATTATAAAATATAAGACATTAATTAATATAATGGACTAAGAAATAAATTATAAAATAAAATAAAATAAAATTTATATACTAACCTTTAACAAGAGGACCATTTAATGAGATACATCTGACACGCATTTCTTCAAATCAGATAAGCAATGCTTTTTCAACAAACTCAAATGGTAATTTTCGTTGACGCTTTCGTTGCCCTTTTATATTATTTTTACACAATTCTCCAAGCTTTGAGCAGTTTTCCTTCCAATATCTTATCGTGCGAACACTAACATCATGTTGTCGTACAAGTTCTTCCATCGATACATTTTCGTTTAATTCTTTCAGAATATTTATTTTCTCTATTGCATCATAATTTTTACACTTCCTTTTGTTACTTGCCTGCATTTTTATTTTAATCAATGTTATGTACTACTTTCTAACTGTATAACTTCTAACATAACCTTTCATCATTATTCGTCTGTGTTCCAATCATATATGTAATACTACTATATTGCTAATCGCCCTATGCTGCCTATAAGAGGAGCTTATCCCAAAATAAAAGGACAGACGACGTCCGAGGAGTGTATTTTGACCGTAGTGCGCAGGCACGACAATCAGATGATGTTATATATATATATATATATATATATATATATATATATATAAAGTAAAAGTGTCAGTGTGTGACATGTACCTAACCTGGATAGTTGCTTCCTTACCTGATAAACTGATATTTTCATTTGCAGCTGCTTTTTTTCGCATAAATAGCATTTTCGGGTGCTCATGTTTATAGCATATGGTATATATAACCTATTACATGCAACTGAGTGTACAATATATTTTATTTTCCTATTGGCGGATACGATCTAGCTGACGCATGCGCATAACATTCATAATACACTCAGAAAGAGAGAGAAATTTATATTCTCGCACCGTGGTTCTGGGGCCGGATTTTCTCTCCATTAACAATATAGTAGTATTACATATATGGTTCCAATATTACGCGCGCTTGCGCCAACGTTGATATGGTGGGGACGCGATATTAATATTAGTGAGCGTACGTGTGAAGGGGAAATAGCTTGTGCGGAAAGTTATCGAGAGAGTAAAAAAATTTCGAACATCGCGGCGCAAGATTTCTTATAAGCTCGACGAGAGATGTCGCCAGGCTCGTGTTAATTTCATCTCGGCGTCTCACACGCTTAGCAATGAGCTCTATACTATATTCAAGTGAGCCTTGAAGGAGTAGGGGTAACTGAGGCAGTAAAAAAGGATAGATAGATGACGACTGCTAATCTATCTTTGTCAGTTCTCTGATTGGTTGATTTCCACTATTATACCATAACTGAAAACGTTGGCATCCAGTGTATATATTTTATGTGAATTTAAAAAGAAATAATTGCGTGTGTGTATCACGATAAATAATAGAAAATAAAGTAATTAATAGAAGTTTATAGTTTATAATTATATGTAATTTTTAGTAACTTTATTTCTCATAAAAATGTAACAATAGAGATTATTGTTTAACTTATAAATTAGAAAAATAAATATACACTCTCTCTTTCTTTCTTTTCTCTCTCTCTCTCTCTCTCTCTCTCTCTCTCAATCAATCAATCATTTTTAGAATTTATCCAAGTTTTTTGTAAAGTAAAGTTACGTATAAACAATGTTTTATTTATTTTATTACAACTTACCAGAAAAGAAGTTATGCTAATGCCAGGATATCAAACATTTTTGCAATTCGTAATACAACACACTTCACATTCATCTTTCAACTAATTTACACACTTTGATAATTTTATAAAACAAAATATAAACGGACATAGGAAATTGGTCTTAAACTAAATTTAAACTATTATCAAATCTTATCAGAGAAACGTTTTCGGCTAGGGTACTATTAATTTAGAACGAGACGGACTATACATCACGATATATTTGTCTTCGTCTGATGATGGCCAGACCAACTTTACCTAGCACCACCTAAAATGAGACAAATATATATATAGACGCAGAAGCGGCAAGAATCGTAGAAATAAAGTGCAAAAAGTATAACTAGAAGGAATTTTTCTACTGGCTGATGTAAAAATGGTTCACTCTCCAGTATAGTATAGAACTCACCGATGCTCAGCCATGCTTGGCTCACATTCAGCCGCCTTCGTTGTCAGGCAGAGCGGCGTCTGACAGTGCCAGATTGTCGACGAGAGGTGGCGGTGTGGTTTCGTTGTGTGGAGAGGGTACAGAGAGGCTCCGCGGTTGCTCACTCGCTCGCGAGCCGTTTTCGCGGTCGGGCCGTAGAAGCGATAGCGGCTTTAGCGGTGGCGCGGCCCGTGCTCCTCGTGTGTGCCATAGGGGCCACTGCCGGACACGGACACACGACAGTAGTGCGCGTTCGTTTACAAGATGGCAGACGGTCCGTCCGCGGAGGACGCGACCGCGAACGAACTGGGGGACGGTGATATTCGTGTGACGAGGGAGCGACACAAACGCCTGGACGCCAACACGCCGACCGCGGAACTCTTCCCGGCCGCTACTCAAGACGCGGCGAAGCGCGTCCTCGAGAACGTCTCCACGTTCTACGAGGTGGACGATCATCGTCGTCCTCATCACGACCGCCGTGTTCATTATCATCATCGTCATCAGCAGCAACAGCAGCAGCATCATTTCTCTCAGCGTCAATCTTACCATCATCATAAACTACCACTGCATCATAATCATCACCACTGTAATCCTCATCGTCATCATCTTACCAATCATCGTAACGACAACGATCGTGTTATTAACGACGACGGCGACGACGGCAACAGTGGTGGTAGTGGTGGTGGAGGTGGTGGCGGTGGTGGCGGTGGTGGTAGCAGTGGCGGTGGTGGTAGTGGTGGTGCTACCACGACGACGAAGACCATTAGTGGTGGTAGTGGTGGTGATTCGACGTCGTGCGTCGACGCGACTAGAGCAGCGAGCGACGACGACGAGGAGGAGAGCGGTATCGGTGTCGAGGCGCGCAGCGGTGGCAGCGACGGCGTCGGCGTCGACGGCAGTGGCGGTGGCGGCAGCGGCGGCGGCGGTAGCAGCAGCAACGGCAGCGGCAACGGCAGTGCCAGTGGCAGTCTGTACCACGGCGATGTTAGTGGAATCAAGATAGTTGGAAGCGCCGTGGATGAAGTGGATGACGACCGCAGTGGCGGTGGCGGCGACGGCGACGTCGACGACGACGACGACGACGACGACGACGAAGACGAAGACGAAGACGACGAGGACGAGGACGAGGACGAGGACGACGGCGTTGATAGCGACTGCGGCGGTGATAGTGGTGGCAGTAGTAATAGTAATATTAGTAGTAAAAGTGGTGCTGGTGGTGTCGGAATCATGACCGGTCGTAATAGCAACGCGACTACGCGCGTCGTCGGCACTGGTGTCGTCGAGAACGCCGACTCCAAAGTGGCCGACTCGACATCGTCGCCGTCGTCGTCGTCGCGACGCACGAGCGCGGACGGTGTGCCGGAAGTGAACGACCGCGGGGGTAACGACGCGACTGCGGCCGCGATATCGCGCATGAAACGGGCGAGCGTCGTCGTCGTACGAGAGCCAGCACTGGAGCAACAAATGGAGCAGACGAGAGGAAACGCAAAGGACGGCGGCGACGCCGCGACAGCCAAGACGGACGGTAACGGCGGCGGCGGCGGCGGCAGCGGCGGCGGTTGTGGTGGCCGCGGCGTTCCCGCCGCCATCACCAGGAACCAGGGCAGTCCGTTCAAGGGACAGGTCAGGATGGCCGAGGACACCCTCGTTGGGCCCTGCGGCAAGAAGCGGTGCGCGGATCGATACGACAGCTCCGAGAGCTCTGACAGGTGAGTGAGTGAGTGAGTGAGTGAGCGAGAGCAAGCGAGCGAGCAGGCGAGGCGTTGGAGGGACGGGAGGCCGATAGGACGAGAGAGTGAAGGAGAAAAATATGGAGCGAGAGAAAGGGAGAGGGCGAGAAAGAAAGAGAGTGGTGGATCTGATAGATTTTCGCGGATTTTCTCTCTTCACCTTGCGGATACGCGATCTCTCGATACTTGTACACGCGACATCGCACGAATGAAAGATAATGCACGTTGTTTCTTGCACGTCTCTTATGCGCAGGACCTTTCGGACCTTTCGTAATCCTCCGTAGCCTCTCTCGATCCACTTAACAAATTTCACCCCAGTAATAACAATAACAATGCTCGTAGCGCAAGGGCGTCGGGGGTGAGCACTGAAATTCGACGCGCGCGCGCATCACCCAACTGCGAGCGCAGTGGCGACGGGTGATCGCACGCGCGACCTCGTCTCGGATGTCATACTGCGTCTTGTTCTACAGACGAGTCGTTGTACCCTATCTCCTCCCTCCCCCGATATGTTTCAGTGTTTCGAAGCGAGCGTTTACCTTCTCGCGACTAGAGATTGCGATTAGAGAGACTTGAGCGAGTACTACATCTCGCGCGGGGCAGTTAAAAAGGGCATTCTCGAATGCGCGAGTCGCGCTCGATCGAGCTCACGACTCGGTTGCGATTGAATTTCGTTGTTGTCGTCGTCGTCCCGTTGCATCCGTGACAGCTTTCCCGCTTCGAGGGAGCGTTGTAATTAGCGAAGCTGGAGTCGGAGCTCGTGCAGAAGAGAACTCACGGGGGTCGTTGTACCGCGGTTACGCGACCGACGACCGTGTCCGCTGCCGCCGCTGATGGTGCTGGTGTTGCTGCTGGTGCTGCTGCCGTTGCTGTTGCTACCGATCGTCCATTCGGTCTCCTTCTCTTTCTCTCTCCGTCTCTCCGTATGTGTGCGCACACCACATCGTGTGTTTATAGGTTCGTAAGATGCCAGCTATCTTCCGTCTCTCCGCCGTCCCTCTCTTCCCACCGTTGTCGTCGTTTCTCCTGCTTTGACGCTACCGTCGGTCGTCGAGAGCGGCTGATTATTTCGGTGCATCGCGCGCATATATCGGCTCGTGTCGCCCACTGTTTTCAGCCTCTCGTCGATTAACGCGGCTCTCTTTCGCGTCTATTCTAACTATAGACAATAATAGCGTGCTTCGGCGACGGTAACGGCATATGGTACGAGCACGGCGAAACGCGGCGCCGGGCGCGCGTGCGCGGCCATGGATTAACGTGGACACAGTTCGTTGCTATTTATAGGAAATAATAAGGATCTTTCGCGACTCTGCCGACAATGGGCGTCGTAAAGCCTCGTGTTCGCCCGTAGGACAACTACGGGTTTCCGTGGTGTTTACGTCTATTGAAATTGCATCGTCCGTCCGTCGGTATAAACTGCGGATGGCCACGTTAGCGTTCGTACGTATTCGAAACACGCTGTTGCGCGGAATTTTCAATATTGCCATCAGCGGAACGGGGATAATTAATGTTGCAGCGTCGTTGTAATCGTTGCGTGCTCCCAAGGGAATACGGCACGCGTTTTATGTCGAACGTTTCCTCGCTTCCGCTTCTGATAGTCGTACAGTGATACGAAGTTTTCTAGTCGTCCGTACGTCGAGTGTTGTCCGATGTTTGTGTCTGGTATGGAACATGTGATAAAACTATACAATGCGCCCCACAAGAAAGTAAAGATCAATCAGATGTTCATTTTTACGTATACGTTTATTTCAGTTTACGTTTATTCGACTTTAAACATTTTTTTCCCTTAACAACAAACTATACAAACATGACTATCAGGTATACAGGGTGATTCATAAATGCATGTCAATACTTTAGGAGGTAAATCTAAACACTAAAATAAATAGAAAAGGTCATATGAATATATGTCCTACGTATCTTAATTTTCAAATTATAAATGATTAAAGAAAATGTTCAAAATATTCGCCTCGTGCATTAACACACGCTACTGTACAGCTTAGCACGTTTCGACCTTATCTAATGTTTACAAACAATATCCATCAATTGTGATGCCACCACGATCTCCTGATCTCTATCCATTGGATTTTAATTTTTAGAGTCATTTAAAATCTATTGTGCATTCAACGCCAATAAACAATGTAGATGATCTGCGAGAAAGGATACGAAATGGATTTGAGACTATTCGAAAAATACCTGGTATTTTTGAACGAGTGCGGAACTCGATGCTAAGGCGCGCAGTAGCGTGTATTAATGCACGAAACAAATACTTTGAACATTTTCTTTAATCATTCATAACTTGAAAACTAAAGTATATAGGACATATGTTCGTATGACCTTTTTTACTTATTTTAGTGTGTAGATTTACCACCTAAAGTATTGACATACATTTATGAATCACTCTGTATAACTCTGTATAACTCTGTATAAGTGAGAAAGAGACGGCGAAAAAGAGCCAGTCGCGGTCGTTGGTGCGAATTTCTTTAATTCTTCTTCAGAAATTATCACACATTGTAATGTAAATACGAAGGAAAGTTCTTTTGAAATCTTCAATGTGGTGTTTCGTCAACATCCCGCAGTGTAAAACATCCTAGGTTTGTGACAATACCCCCCCTCCCGCTCCTCACAAATGATATAAAGGAAATAATTCCAAGTGCGAAGAGCATCTTTTGTCAACATTCTATAATGTAAAATGCTTCAGGTTTATGATAATACGCCCCTTCACATATCGCATAAAGGAGATAATTTCAAGTGTAAAAAATATCTAACTGTACATGATTCATGTAACCAAGCGGAACGAGATTGACACTGCAGCCAATCATCTCTCAGTTTTGTATTATGATAGTTTTCGTCACATTCCACACATTTGCCAATGTACAAGTCTTCGCCTGACAATTCATCAGAACAATTCAGAACTCGAGTCTAAATAAACTCGCAGAGTTTTTCGTACATAATTTCGCCTCACGTCTGTAAATAGCGTACATAATTAATGGGACATGTTAATCTGCGAGGCGTTTTGTAATTCGCGTAGTGCAAAGTACTTTATCCATGAAATTAGAGACAGATAGTTGATTAGTGCAAACATAGATAGAGTTAAAGGCTACTTTTATACTGTTTTCATACGTATAACATTTGAACGTTAAACTGTTTCTAACTATGAATTTGTAAACATCATCTGAATATGTTCTGCAGCATTAAAAGGTTTTTTTTTCGAACTAACAATCCCGAGTTGAAATTTTGACCCTATGCTAAATCTTGACTTCTACAATACAATAGAAGCTAAGTTAGCAAAGTAAGTTTAATTCTAATGATACAATTTACTTCTACCTTGGTTCTAATGATGCCCAAAATTTCTCTTTCCACTTTCTTTAGCGTCAAAATAGGTTGTATTATTATTGGCTTAATATCATATAAATAAATGTTAAATGCAATAGTGAGGCTGAAAGTAGGATCAAAATTTCGACTCGGGATGTGATATTGAAGTCTGATCTGATCTATAGTCTGGTCACAGAGAGACTATTCAGACACGTCGAAACACGCTACTCTTGCGTTATTTTTACATTCAGTTTTCGAGAAAATAATGTTAGACGTTTTGTCAATTGGAGCGTATTGCACACGAAAGAAAAGATAAATTTGTTAAATTAATCTGAAATCTATATATATAGATACATTAATCAAGACTGTTCGGTGAGAAATAAACGACCATAATTCTGATTAATGTAAGCAGACAAATTTGGTTAAGGTAACCAGACAAATTTGATCAGAAAAATGCAGCAACTTCGGCAAAAGAAGATCCCTGATGAGTTGTGAATCCGGGATTTTATTAGAATCATAAATTGGTATCTCTGGCATCTCACGCCAGCCTTACGCGTTACGTCGCTTCTCTAATTGACACGGAGAGAATTTTATAGGATGTTTTTGATGTGATTGGGTCAGTAACTATATCAACGCGCGTATATTGTTGCACTAACGCATAATTTCTTTAAGGTACAATATTTATCAATCCAACTTCTTTTTTCTCAATGTATATTTGATTAAATAACTGTTGACACAATATACTATTGTAAACAATATGTAACAGATCTACACGAAGAGAATATTATAAATCTTTTCGTATAAATTCTTTTAAATTTTACTATCTTTTTAGTAATAATAGACTATCTTTTTGGTAAAAATAAATTGTCAGTAAAGACTGTCTGTCTTGCTAAAGAACATGGCAGATTTTGCTAAAAACATAGTAAATGTTTAAATAGTATATTTCAGTTTTTAAAATAGCACGTACGAAATGAAAGGACAGTGAATTATTGCGGGATATCGATTTATTCCTCGGATGAGGAAATACTGGCCAAGTCACAATCGTTGAATCAGTTGATAACTTTCATCACAGCAACTATATATTTCGTTCAGTCGACTAAATGTTTGCTTAAATGAATTTTATCCGTTGCTACTACATTTTTTACTACTAAACACGCAAGTAACTAAATTCCAATCGATATTATAGCTAAATATTTTGCTTGTACACCACGACATCTCGTTATAATACCAGAAATTCTGCTTGCTTCCACCAAAACTGGTTTAACCGAACATATCATGTTAATTCAACTAGGCTCTTTTTTTCATGTATGATTTTACTCTACATGAGAGAGGTGTATCCTATACTCGTATATATTCACACGGATGTAGGAGAGGAATCATCACGCTCAGCTGACACAAGCTGAAGGACTACGAAGAAGAACGCGAGAGATGTTCGTGTAATAAGTAGAAAGAGAAAGGCTGATTTCAGCATTCTTGACATGTTGAGTCTCTGAACGCGTCCCTTAGGTATTTATATATACAGGGTGTCCCAGTGTAAAGAGAACAAAACAACTTCAAAAACCACTTCAGAAGTCACAATGAATCGCATAATTTGAACTTGTGATGATATTATGTCAGAAACAATTGAAAGACCATCACAATTCGTGATTGCTCGTTTTAGAAAGTGTACT